AGCGGCGTACTGCTTTCTTGTCACGGGGAACGGGAAAGGAGGCTACGGCGGTTGTCTTGTCGGGGTCAGGTCGAACACCGTCTGCGCTCACAACATGCCCCAGAAATTTAAGTTCTTTATAGCCAAAGTGGCATTTTTCTGGCTTCAGCGTGAGGTTCGCAGAGTGGAGTGCTTCCAGAACAGCCTGCAGACGTTTCAAGTGTTCCTCGAAAGTGACCGAAAATACGACGACATCATCGAGATAAACTAAGCAGGTGTTCCACTTCAGACCGGTAAGAACAGTGTCCATCATTCTTTGGAATGTCGCTGGTGCAGAACACAGGCCGAAGGGAAGCACCTTGAATTCATACAGGCCGTCCGGTGTAACAAAAGCAGTTTTTTCTCGGTCTCTTTCATCAACCTCAATCTGCCAGTATCCGCTTTTCAAGTCTATGGATGAAAAATACCTTGCTCGCCGTAGTCTGTCTAGTGAATCATCGATGCGTGGCAGAGGATACACGTCTTTTTTTGTCACGTCGTTCAGCTTTCTGTAGTCCACGCAGAAACGCAACGTTCCGTCCTTTTTCTTTACAAGAACGACTGGCGATGACCATGGACTATTGGACGGCTGTATAACATCATCCTGAAGCATCTCTTCGACTTGAGCATTGATCGCGTCACGTTCTTTGGCAGAAACTCGGTAGGGTTGTTGCTTTATGGGCGAGACATCGGTGTGTATAATAATCCGGTGTTTCATAAGGGGCGTTTGACGCACCTTTGAGGATGAAGCGAAACACTCTTGAAATTCAAGCAACAGCTCCTGCAGCGCTGTGCGTTCTTTCTGCGTGAGGCTCGAATTGATGTCCACCTTTTCAAGAGCCTTAGAAACGCCGGTCGATGTCGATTGTAGCCCACTATTTATTGATGCGGCAGAAAAACATTCAGCAACGTCTTCGATGGGGTAGGCGAAAGCGATAGCGGTGCGTCGAAACAGGTGCCGCTGCTCATTACTAAAATTTGTCACAAGCAGCGTGGCACGTCTGTCGTGAAGCGTAATGAGGCTGCGGGCTGCGCAGACACCTATGCTAAACAAAAGTGTCAAGTTGCCTTCGGCGACTGCCTCACCGTCACGTATCTCGTCACACACGACTTCAACCAGGATGCTTGAACGTGGAGGCAACGTGATTATGTCGGCCGAAACACGAAGCGAACTGAGATGGCTGTCATCAGGCTTTTCTGCTTTGTCTGTAGAGAACGTCACTGTGCGCTGTCGGAGGTCAATGATAGCGCCGTATTCACGTAAAAAGTCGACGCCTAGGATGAGGTCTCGGGAGCATTCAGGAAGTATAAGGCAGCTGCAGAGAAATGTGCGTTTGCGAATGCCGACTCTAATCGTGCAGATACCGAGAGGGGTGACGACGTGCCCGCCGGCTGTACGGATTCGTGTCCCGTACCACGGCGTACCCACTTTCTTGAGATGCGTCGCCAGTTTTCTGCTCATGATGGAGTAGTCGGCCCCTGTGTCTAATAAAGCTGTAATATCGTGGCGGCCGTCGAGCACTACAGGTATATCTAGGGAAAGTCGGCTTTCTGATTCGGGAGCTGTCGTCGTTGAACCACTGCTGGTACGTACTCGCATGGATTGGGGCCCTTGTTCGTGTCGTTTATCAGCGGCCCCGCCCCCGAAGGTCGCTGTCGTTAGTTTTCCCGCCTAGGGCTGAGCGGCCGTGCTGGCGCCGCCCCTGGGTAGTTCGGGACACTTGACGAAGACCTTCTTGGAGATGGTGATCGTGACTGGCGCCGCGGGAGCAGTGGCATGCGCTGCTCGGACAGGTACTCCTCAATCGCTCTGGGTCTTTCGCCAAATCTTGGCCTGGGTGAGTCGACGGCGAAACCCTGAAGTCCGAGGCGACGGTACTGGCATTCGCGGTACACGTGTCCGGCTTCGCCACAGTGGTAGCACAGCGGCCGCCTGTCCGGTGTGCGCCATACGTCCGATTTCCGCGGGAGGAGCTGCCGATTCTCGAAATGCTGGACTGGTTGAACTGCTGGGAGTGGATCGCGATGTGCAGGGTGTACGAAACGGCGTGGAGGAGCGTAACGACTCGCAGCTTCGGCGTACGATGCAGGAGCGACGTAACAGCTCACAGCCTCGGCATAAGATGCACGGTGAGGCTCGATCGGTACAGGCGGGGAAGCATCGTTGGACAGCGGGACTTGCAAAGCCTGCTGTACTTCACTCCTGATGAGGCTGGAGATGGATCCCGCAGCAGGTGGAGGCGGCCCGTGAATCTTCTGCAGCTCGTCGCGTACCACCGATCTGATGAGGTCGCAGAGAGCTTCGAGATTGACGTTACTCCCCGCAACTCCAATCTGGTCCACCGGCGAGGCAACATTCACGTGGCGGTCGTACACAGCTGATCGCTGCTGCAGCATGTTTTCCATTGTCGTTGCTTCAGTTAAAAACTCTGCCACAGTATTCGGGGGACTTCGCACGAGACCAGCGAAGAGTTGCTCCTTAACTCCTCGCATTAGGTGGCGCAACTTCTTGTCTTCTCCCATACCTGGGTCAGCGCGACGGAAAAGGCTCGTCATGTCCTCCACGTACGCCATCACGCTCTCGTTCGGCATTTGGATGCGTGATTGGATGGCCCGTTCCGCTCGTTCACGGCGATGGGGGTCAGCGTAACTTGCCAGCAGCTGACGGCAAAACATCGTCCACGACGAGAAGGGTTCGCGGTTCTCGTACCAAGTACGAGCTCCGTCCTCAAGGCTGAAATATACATTCCGCAGCTTGTTGGCGTCGGTCCACTCGTTGAAAGCCGCAACGCGTTCAAAGTGAGCCAACCAGTCCACAACATCCTCCAACATGGAGCCACGGAACACCTTCGGCACTCGTGGCTTCTGCAGCGTGTAATTAGCCATCGGAATATTTTCCGTACCGCTCTGGGGTGGTGCAGTTGATGCCATCTCCGGTAGAGGTTCACGCTCGGGGGACAATCCTCGGATTCTCCGGCTGGCCCGGTGGACAGGTGTTGCGACTGCGGGTATAGGGCTCCCAGGAGGCGTTTGGATCATTGACTGGGAATACCCAGCGACTCCACCAGTTGTCGCGCGTGAACAAGAGGGACTTCAGGTAAAGAATACCGCGTAGTCACAGAGGCGCAGGTCAGGGACACCACAACCAAAAAACAAAAGCCTCGGCGAGAGCGCGCTAGCCCAACAACTTCTTCCTCGTTTCTTCTCCTCGATGCGGGCTCGTGCTCGCCGCAGTTCATGGCCAGGTGGCAATATGTACTACAGGCATATTTTCATTTTTTTTCTCATGGGTGTCGAAGTTGTATCACGGCCGGACTAGAAACGCGCGTTCTGTGTCACTGCCTTCGCAATCCAGTTCAGAGCAATGGTAGCGTTTCTCCGCGGTTAGAGCTACTGCTCAACGCGAGGGGAGCAGCGGCCCTGCCATAGGTAAAAGCGTTTTTGTCTACTGCTTGGCGCCTGAAGATCTTTGTTTTGTTTTATTTTTTTCTCCGTTGTGCGTCTACTTTTGCATCGCCAGCAGTCACGAACGCAACGGGGAGCAATGGCAGGGTAGCAGCGACAACACGGCGCTGCGGCGGGAGGTGGAAACAGACGCACGGCGAAAGCCGTAAGACTGAACACTCGCGTGCCTTCCCAGTCCGGCCGCGGTTGTATCTATACATCAGCCGTGTTTATACGCTTCCTTCGGGGCATTGCGGGGTGTCGACAGCCGCTAACCGCGTTCGCGTCGTGCAGGCGCCGTCGGGAAGTCAAGTTACGAGCTCGCGCCCTGCCGTTGTGGGAAGAGAGCATCGCTGTTGTGCGAACCGCGTAAATATCCAGTCCCACCCACGACATTACCACAGTTTCTCCCGGGTTACATGTGTGTGTACACCGAGCGGTGAGATCACGTAAACGCCGCTGCGGCCCCCCATTCCGCATCGCGTCGACGTGACGCACCACAGAGGCTCTCTATAATACTGCAACAGGGTACGAAAGACTGCCCATCGGCCTTCTCGCGATGCTTTTCCAAGTTATGCGCAGGTCGACAAGCTTACTCTACTTCCGCGCAGCAACTTGACGGTCCGCATGTTGCCTCCTCGTGGGCTTTTTGCGCCACCTGTTCAAATATGCGATCTTAGAAACTCGCCCAAATTCTATTTCTCATTATGAATCGCGGGTAGTAAAACCCACAACGAATAATATTATCGTTGCGAATCACTGATTTTGGTGGCGGTGTCATACAAGAGAATACCAGGCGCCTGAGAGCGCACTATAATGAGGGTCCTTCAAGGTGCACTGGTACGGTGCGCTTTTTGCGTGCGCGGTTTTCCCAAAATTCATGTTCTCTCAATCACAAGCTTGTCGGCGATCAGCCGCTTTTGATAAAGAACACGGTAGAGCATGAAGCAGTGCTGGTTGGTTTACATTCATTTTAAAGGCCAGTTAACTAGGCTAGTAAACCAAAACAAAAAAAAAGACGAAGGAAGACAAGTCTCACCCATGCCCTAACTCAGTTGGACCTGCCCCGTAATTGTTTAAAACGCTAAGTTGTAGCCATACGGATCTTTGGCAATAATGGCAACTGACAACCACTCATGTCGCATTCAGAGAGCTCATGAGTCATTACATTCCATTTTCCCACCCGTAAATCTGGAAACCAAAGGCAGGTCGCTGTGGAAATCGTGTCAATCTTCTTTTTCATTTTTTGCCTTCAATGGCAAGCTTGTTTTCCTTCGAATTTCTTCGAAGTTGACTGACCAAGGCTGCGGGGTAGGGGGGCTGCGGTAAGACTTGCTCCCCTCCCCACACCGCTTCCCAAATAGAAAACGCCGCGCACGCCTTTCCACGCATGCCCAGGGAAGGCTATAGCGCCTCCTTGCCCTCCCTCCCCTAAAGTGATGCTCCTCTACCGTGAGAGGACACCTACACAGAGTACAAATATCAAGCCTGTGCATTCCAATAAACGAAGAGGTACGAACGGTGGTTCTTCCACTCACGCTCTGCGGTGCGGCGCGTGGTCCCTCTGGCGGCGGTTCTTGAACCAGTTGCTGACCTGCGTCAGCGTCAGGCCCGTCTTGTGCGCCAGGGTGCGCTTCTCGTCGGGCGTCGGGTAGCGGTTCACCTTGTAGCACTCCTTGAGGGCGATGCGAGACTTCTCCTTGAAGCAGTACACCGTGTCCTCGCCGTCCCAGATGGTCTTGGGAAGAGGGTACTTGCGCCTGCAGACCCGAGGTCGGAGACACAACTTTGGGAGAACGTAAAACTTCAAAGCCTTACTACATCACATTCAGAATGCGCACTAACCAGCCAATCACCTAGCTCTCTTTTGTCGAGAACATTCATAAAAAACTTACATATAAGGCAGCTTTAGTGCAGACAAATGCAGGCAATATGTGAGATGAATACCTTCGTTCAAGGGAAGAAGTGGCGCTGCTTATACATTCCGCCAGAAATTGGACCTGTACTTGATAAAGTTACTATGTGCTAAAAAAAACACTCTGCTTACGGAAGTACACGAAAAGGAAAGCGCTCATATTTGTGTTAATGTTATCTCGTGTTCTACAAAAAGTAAGGAAGGAAGGAAAATAGGAGGAAAAGAACGGCAGGGAGGTTGATAAGCCTATAGGCAGCAGGTTTACTACCCTGCGCATGGGAGGGGGATGGGGAGATGAAAGATAGAGAGCAGAGAGGGAAGAGAGATAAGCACAGCACATTCAGCAGCACACGCGCGCGCACACGCGGCTGCATAGGCTGGCCCCATCTCGCCGACTTCAGCCTCCGTTCGGACTCTTGCGAGACGACGATGCTTTGCTGACTATGTCACTTGGTGTCGCTTTGACCAAGTCTTTCGCCTTCCGAATCGACATGGAAAACAGTGTTGCATGCGATCACTGCGGCAGTGATGAAACGATAGAGCACGTTCTTTGTCACTGCCCTCGATACAGCGCCCGCAGACTGCCGCTAGCTACTGCGTTGGCCGGTCTTGAGAACAGGCCCTTGTCAGAACAGTAATGTAGTGCTCGAATCCGGCACGTTTTGTCTCCACGCGAAATATTAGTAAAAGCCTTATTGAACTTTTTGCATGGTGCTGGCCTACTCGAAAGGCTACAACACCCCCCAATCTTGTTTTTCTTTCGCTCGTCTGCTATTATCTCCGCTTTCCTTCTCGTCTTTCTTCCCCTTAACCTTAGTGCAGGGTAGCGAATCGGATGCTACTGTTCAGGTTGACTTCCCTGACTTTCTTTCAATGTATTCTCTCTTTTATCTTGCGTTCGTTTGTGAATCTCTTCACAGAATAAGTTGTCATTGATACAATAATGAACAGCCAATCGACCCATCATCCCCTTCTGGTCAACCGCTCTTTCTCTCTCTACCTACAGAATAAAACGCAACGCTTATTGGACGCCCTACACGATGTCCGCAATGGGGTGGAGAGTTACGTAACCATTTTAATCGCAGTTGGCACCGGCGTGTTCGTAGTGAACTTCGCATATGGTAGCGACACGTCAATTCAGTCTATAGCGGTACCGGTGGGATATAATATCAATTTCCTACAATGCCATTGAAAACGCGTGTGTGTTCATCAATCTTGTGACTGCCTTCTGCGTATACTTGCCAGTTTATTATTCTTAAGCCAAGTTGGAGCTGGCATCACATTTCGTTGAGCGGCGGCTCGGGGCTATTTATCCTTCATAGCGTACTTCAATGCTAGTAGTATACCTGTCTCACCTGAGCCTATACTTGTCGACGGCTCCCAGCGGGCGACCTCGTATCTTCTCGGCCTCCCTGTAGTGCGCCTTGTACCACATCTGCTGCAGCTCATTGTGGTACTTCGAGTCGAAGTTGTGGCTCTCCAGGATTCCGTACAACTCCTGCGTAGAGAGACGGAGAGAAACCGTTGTGAAGGAGCTTACCGGTGCGTTTCTTGGAATTTTTTAGCATGCCTATTGCCAACGTGGCACCACTAGGCTGTACACAGCTGCAACATTTCAATCTGGAAGATCATGTAACGAAGACCACGGGCGCTTACTGGTACTGGTTTCGCAGCATTGGTGATTTGAAAGTTTTGTATGGTCTACCTGATAGAACACCATTTTTTGCTGTCTACGGGCAGCTAAAGGTGATCTATCAAAGTGCTGGTGGTCTGTTGACATACTCTTACTGGAGGACCGCTACAGATGATGTAGTATCTAAGAGATTACTGGTGGCCTGTTGACATACTGTCACCGGTGGGCAGATCGTGCTCCATCGGACTGGCAACGACGTCATTATTCTACCACGATCACGCGATCATGCGTAAATATGGCCCCTGACTGAGGCAGCCCTCACAATGCCAAGTCCGCGGGCCAATCCAAAGGGGTGGGGGGAAGGGGGTTGTCCAGAAGACTCGCAACGCAGAAGGTGGACGGGGCGAACCTTGTAGTTTTCACGATGGAATGCCACGGCCGCCTGCGCCCTGAGCACCGTTTCGTCCGTGCGGAGCAGGTCGCCTGGTGGTAGGGACCAGAGGAACCTGGCCAGGCGGTCCAGGTTACGTGCCTGCTGCAAAGCCTCGCACAGGCAGGCCACCTGCTCCAGCGTGTATCTGCACGCCTTGCTTCCGGTACCCAAGGTAGAACTGCTTGCCCCTATGCTGCTGCTGCCACCTGTTGTTACGCTACCGCCACTGCTGCCTCCGCGAGACGATGACGACATGCCTCCGCTTAGGCCCACAGACATGAGCTCCGTCAACCTGCTTGTGGAGCTGCCTGCGCTGGTTAGGGAGGAGGTGCCGTTGCTCAGGCCCAAGCTGTAAGGAGAAAAGTAATCGGGCTTCAAGATACGAGAAAGTATGTTTCGGTGGGCCTCGGGTGCAATTTAAATTAAAGTTAATTAGCCCTGAATTTTTACAGGAGGCCTCTCCTCCTTATTACAGTTTAACACGCGAGCCGGGCAAAATGAAAACGTTATAGCAATGACAAGTGCGTTTTTCGATACTATAACACCTATGAGAGAACAAGGAAGGGCCGAAGAAAGAAAAGAAGGGAAAATGCAGGGATGTTTACGAGACGCATGCTTGGTTGGCTGTGAGGGAAACAGAAGGAAAGGAAATGATCAGTAAATGCGCTGATTTGTATGCGTTATCATACAATAGTCAAAGGCACTGACTCGTGTCTGTAGTCCTTAAAGTGCACGATATAACCAACATAGCCTAGTTACGTAATGTGAATTAAAACATAACAACGTTCATCAGATAATGGAAATAAACAAATAATATACTACAAATAAAAACTTCAACGAAATGTTAAATAAAGAACTTGGCCCGTGTCTCCGAAGGGAACCTTGATGGTATGCGAAGCAGTGGCGTTGGGCACGGGTGGCTTCACGGTTGAACGGGACTAACGCGGGACCTGCGGTGAGTGCTGGAAGATTCGTTTGAAGCGATGGCAGGCGTAGGTCTTGTAGGTGACACGTACGGACATGCACCAACGTGTACGTTAGGCGTGCGTCAGGGTCATTGCGTGTGAACCGACGAGTCGGCGGTGCAGTGAGTTGTGGTGGCGGCAGGTGTTGCGGTGAACGAACGAGGCGGCAGCTGCGGACGCCACGGCGAGCACGCGGCAGTTGAGGAAGAGAGTGAAGTGAGCGCGCACTGCGATGGGAGCGTGATGTCAACGCGCAGCAGCGGCGTGACCTACTTGGCACCGCGCCAACACCTGGGGTGCGTGGCGCGTCTGTACGGAGGGGCACCGTTACACAGGCTAGTCAAGAAGCTGCTTCCTTCGCATATAATAAAATGCTTATCACTAGAAAATGGTACCCAGATTATGCAAACTGGTAAAAACATTTCAGAAATCAAACACGATGTTCGTCTGTTCGCCGGCCGTACAACGAAAGTTAACTGCTTTCGTAGGACGGCTGGTGAAGATATACCTAATTATTAATATCGGGCAGAAGTCAGTAAGAAGTGTGTCTCAAAGCAGATTTCAACGGACAGTGAGGTCAAGCAAATGACTAGGAACGTTAGTTGTTAGTTTTATCTCCAGTGCGGAAGTTATGAATTAGATAGAACGATTTCACCGCTAGTTGCACTACGCCACCGCTGCCGCAGTGCATGCCGGTACTTGGGGTATTCGGAACGTTCGGCTGCATCGGCGAGTAGCGTCAACGAGCTCTAGGAACCGTGTTTGGATGAATCGTGGTGGTTTGTTCCACGTGCTGTGTGTGGGGATGCTAAAAAAGAAGCCTGGAGGTGGCCTGTAGAAAAAGGGACTCGGATGTTTCACAAGTTTTCAAAGGATATCAAACTGGACAATCATAAAGTCCGGCGGAGCGGCAAATACCGGGCTCTCCCAGCGTGTAGTTCAAAGCGTTCGTGCGTTCCGTGTGTATAACATGACGCATGGTAGTTTAGCAGTGTTCTAAATACAGCAATGCGGCATCATAGCAAGCTTTTTGCGTGACTGATGGGTCGATGAGCGACAGCAAAACTTCATGCAATGTGTGCTCGATCCCTTGCCGGTGCGATCGCCGTCAGTGGTTGCAAACTTGATACGTGTTTTCAAGGCAACACAGAGATCACCCAAACGGACCTCTCACCGGAAGCGATGACGACTGTGGAGTTTCAATGAGAGTTGTGATACAAACGATGCTTATAAGTGTGTGATCTACGTGCGCGCAGTGGCACGCCATGCAAACAATTAGTGCACGGCGAAAACTCTGCTGTGCCAGCATCGCAGCCTCGACGCCACTGAAGGGCCCCATTCCTTTCAAAATGTGATATCATAAGCGTAAGGTAAAGTGGCAACAGTGGTAGCAAAGGTTGGCTTTTTATTGAGCGCGAGCGCACTGCAGTTTCGAAGCGGTAGGCCTTTGCGACGATATCGGCGCCGAGCCGTCTATCAGCTGAGGCCGTCGCCGGTAGCCGCGGAGTGGGCTACATCCGCCGCAATGTGTGTGCCACCGTAGCCTTTAGCTGACTGATCCATTCTTTGTGACTCGCTCGTTGGATTCCGTGCCAACCGGTCGTGCCCTCGCGATCTCCGACGACAGAGCAGCTCTGGCCGACTGGGTTGGTCCTACGCCACCCCCTGCCGCCGGTCCTCTACGACGACGACAGCGTAGCTCTGGCCGACTGGATTAGCCCTACGCCATCTCCTGTCGCCGACAAGAGCTCTCGCCAGTGGTGCTCCGTCCTCTGAGTCCTGCAACCGTGTCCTTCTGTCCTGTCTTCTCCTTACTTCCGTCGCTCCCTATCCCATCGCCTCGTTCTCTAATTCCTCTCTCTCTATCTTTCTACCTTTTAATCCTATCATTTTATTCCCTTCTATACCCCCATCTTCCTCCTCCTGAGAGACAGTTACGGGGCTCACTTTTCTCTTCTTTTATTTTAAAAATCACAACCCCCCCCCCCCCCCATCCTTTGTGAAGCGGGAAATATTTTGCCGTCCACAAGATTTCTGTAAAGGTAAACTTTCGAAATGGCATACGGCCAGTCGCCGTCCCAAGGACGCGCTTTCTTCGATTATCTGTTCTGTTCATTTGATTGTATGTAAGAAAGGAATGATCCCTTCGCGAATTTCCCTTTCTTTCTTCCGTTGGAAGATTGTCAGTTACGAAAAGATATAGGTACATAGGAGATCAAAGTAACACAAGAGAACTCAGCTGCAAAACTGGCCAGACACGTAACAAGACTAGTGAAATTCGTTTAAGAAAACATGTGCTGGTTTACGTCTCAAAATCTATAGGCGTGCCCATCAGGCGAGAGGGGGGGCGATATAGCCAGCCCCAGACATGGAGGACCCTGTGCACGCCTTCGCCAAAACCCCAATATGATTACGAGAAACGGCCCTGCCGCGCTGATCTAATGGTTGTGGGACTCGACTGCTAAGCCGAAGGTCGTGGGCCCGGCTGCGGCGGCTGCATTTTCGATGGAGGCGAAAATGTTTGATGCCCGTGTGCTTAGATTTAGGTGCACGGTAAAGAACCCCAAGTGGTCTAAATTTCCGTAGCCCTCCACTACGGCGTCTCTCGTGATCGAATCGCGGTTTGGGGACGTCAAACTCCTGATAGTATCGCGAGGAATGCCGTAATGAAGGGCTCCCGAAATTTCGACCATCTGCTACAAGGGCCTTTATCTCTTCGCCTCCATCGAAATGCGACCGCCACTGCCGGGGTTGAACCCACAACCTTGGGGTCAGAAGCCGAGCACCTTAGAGCCACTGATCCACCAAGGCGGACTGCGCATACAATATACCACAGAAGCGAATTCCCACTCTCATTACTAACACGGCATCAAAGGCACGACGATAGTTATAGCGCGAGAACAACACGACGACACAGAAGACAAGAAGGACACGAGCGCTTCTTGTCTCTGTGTCGTCGTTTTGTTCTCGCGCTATAACAATTGTGATGTCACACCAACTAGCCCAAGCTGCCACACATCAAAGGCACCTTGCCCACGGAGCGTTCTCCTAGAATTTCAGCGCATCAATCACAGCAAATGGTCGAAAGAAAACTTTAAAAACGACAGCATAAATACTGTGATACACGAAGAGGCCCGCTAGGAGGTGGCGAGGGTATTACATATTGGTGAAATGAGCGCCCGGGAATCTACGTATACGCAATTTCGCGTGCACCTACTCGCCTTACACGTGCGTGCATTACACGACACGCATCACGGGTCAAAAGAGGCGCGTGTACTCGAGACACGCTTTACAACCTATCGCAGATTGAAGCTCCGCAAATGCGAGTGTGAGAGGGGAAGGAAGCGCTGGACACGCAACCGACTTTAAAAACGCCGAAAAACGAGACGATAATCCCCCGACTATATTTACGACGAGCGAGGTATACCGGGGGCGCCGTTCAAGAGTGAGAACCCCCCCACCCTCTCCTTTTTCTTTTTACCCTCCTCCTCCTCCTGCAACCACCACCCACAACGCACCAGAATGAAATCGTTGGTGGAGCCTACTTTTTTTGTTTTTGTCTCCTTATTTCTATTGCCTCGTATAGATATACGCGCGTGTTATAGTGCGCCACGCTGGGCGCGTTTCAAGAGGGCAGTGGGAGCCTTGAAACGGACGATAAATGTTCTTTCCCTCATCCTCTCTCTCTCAACCTCATCCTCTTCTCGTTGACGCACTGCCACGGGCCGTGCCCCCGCTGCCGATGTTATCGGGAGGCGCTGGATGTCTCGAGTTTCGACCACAACGTGTCGCCACAATCGGTCACCGCGTCGCTTGCAGCAGTCAAGTGCGTGTAAAGCGCATGTTCTTTCTTTCTTTCCTTCTTTCTTTCTTCTTTTCTTTCTTTCTTTCTTTCTTTCTTCAGAGATGCATGAACACGAACTGGGGTCACCCCGAGCATAAGGCGGGGGCTCGTTTACTACGCGTTCACGCGTCGCCGAGCTTCCCACTTCAAGAAAGCCGTCGTAGTCAACCCCACGCCAGCATATCACTGATTGTTGAATAACTTCAAATGGTTTCGAACGCACGTTTCAATCGCTGACTTGACGCGCCATATTTTCCATTATATAGGCACCACCTGCGGATTCTGTAATATGGCCAGTGGCTCACCTAGTGGACATCGGTCTGCATTGAAGTGCTTTAAGAATTTTTGCGCACTGTTGCGAAAATTATGCCCGCACAGTTTTTGTCAACGAGAAATGAAACAGCCAGGTGTACATTACACTGCCCGCATTGGTCGTGCTAAATTCCATTACTTTGACGCGTGCCTTGCTGGGCCACACTCCGCGACATCGGGTGTGGAGCTTCTCTCGAACCATTACAAAAGCATTG